AGTCCCCTGCAACCTATAGCTACCCTATATACAGCAGCTCTGAAGCCTGCCCTGTCCTGAGCCAGTCTCACTAATTCTGGCACACCAAATCCCCATTTCCCCAATTACTGTATCGAACCATCTCCTTCTGGGTCTTCCTCTCCTGCACTGTCCCTCTACCCTTCCAAGCATGCTGTCCTTCTCCAAGGACAGGTCTCTCCTGGCCCCCATGCCCAAAGTAGGTGAAACAGAGCTTCAAAATCCTAGAGCTGGAAAATAGGTATAGTAATAATAGATAGATGAAGAGTTAGTGTGAAGATTAAATAAAAACTACATAGCCAAGGACTCAGGACAGTACAATACAATGTAGGCATAAAGAAAAATATTTATTTCCTTCTCCCTTCACATTGGTTTAAATCTATGGACTCAAGATCTAAAATAAATCCAAAATGTGAGAATTTAATCAAACTTGAGATTTTTTTACACACAGTACTAATAGATTATTCAAGCAAGGATTATACACACACACAGCTAACAGGAGAATCCGATAATGGATGGTTGAATTTTTAGAGCTGGTGATTTTTTTTCTTAAGCAGAACGTAGATATTAAAAGGGGAGATATCCAGGGAAGCGTAAACACTCTACTGTGTACCCCAAAACTCTCACCCACACATGCCTCTACATGACCACGTCCAAATTCCAGATGTTCCAAGTAGCTCTTCATGTAATCCTGTCTCCTGACAGCACCTAAACAAATATATCAAAACGTGTACAACATTTAACAAGTGCAACTTGCAGATTTTCTTTCTGTTAGACAAATAGACGCCATCTGGAAAAAATAACACCAGGCACTTGGACACAGAAGCGTGAAGCTTATTGGCTGAACTCCCAATGAATACCTTACACTACTTTCTTTGGCTCCTACTCTCTGCCTGCTCATTTCAAATCTTGCACACTTCAGCAGGCACTGTGCTATTAGACAAGGGAATCCTTGTTACCCATGCACTCAATCACAGCAAAGGCTGTCTTCATTTGAAAGATAGGCTTGCAAGAATTATCTAGGCCAAAATCGTTTCTTTTTATATTATAAACACCTGTTCTATAAAGGGCTGCTCAGTATCACCATGCATTGATATTAATGGTTAACAGTGTTTCATTATTCCTTATATTTCCCCATGTTTACCAGTTTCACTTTTATTCACATACTCCTCCTTCCTTCTTCCCTATCTTAATTTATCTAACTATACTTTATAAAAAAAAAAAACCAACTAGGTACGTTAATGTTACTTTTTTAACTGATGGTGACTTTTTTATCACAACCATTCTTATGATAATATTGGTATTGTTTCTTCACTTCAAAATACAATGAGCTGCATTCAAAGAACTGCAATATAACTTCTGAGCTTTCTGGAGAAATTAAAATAATTTGTTGTTGTTGTTATGTGCCATCGAGTCGCCTGCGACTCATAGCGACCCTATGTACAA